GTTGACACCGTCGATCTCGATTTCAATAGAGGACACGGAAGAGGACTTGTCCTCCTCATTTGAACAGGTCCCCAGAAAGGGGAAGAAGAGGGGGCGGAAACCCAAGGGCTCGAACGACCCAGGGTCGCACGCCCTATCCAGACTCGGCTCGAGACGCATGGAATTCGAGGATGATGAGCTGGATAGGGAAGACTTCTTCCAAATATCTAAGAGGGGCGGCCATGGATTAAAAAAGAGGAGGGGCCTTGTGGAATGCCTATTGGACGATAGGCTCACATCCTGTCAGAAAGACGCTGTAGAAGAGGTGACGGCATTATTTCCCCAGATGTCTCCAAAGACGATCATGGCGGAGATACTGAGAGTTTTGGAGACCGCTGGGGAAGCTGAAAGACGCACGTCATCAATGAGGGGTGATTTTCGCCGTCAAATTAAAGTGGGCGTGAACGTAGCCAAGATTGCGGTCCAGCGGCTTGTATCCGAGATATTGAGAGGCACGGGACCTACGGATGAAATCAGAGCTAATAACCTGGCATTAGAAAAGGAGGTTATTAAACTTCGCCGGGAGGTCGATACCCTCAGAAGGGAAAGACAAACTATGAGGGACCAGATAAGTGCTCTACAGAACACTGTCCAGAACCTGGAGGACAGAAGAGGTGAATGAGGTCGAAGCAGGAGACTTACCCTTTCCTCGGATGGAGAGACTAGCGGCGCGGATCCACCGAAGAGGACTCGGGGACGAGATAGGGGAGAGAGGCCGACGAGGAGTGGCGGTGCTGATATGGCAGCGGAAAGCCTCCCTCCGGCGTATCGGCCATCGATTGGCGGAGTCCGTAAGAGACTCGAGGACAGGCCCCCCCGACTAGCAAGGATAGGTGAGACGGGGCAGAAAGCGCTAGTGGACACTGGTCTGATAGCAGTGACTGATAAACGGGGGAGTTCGTACGCGGAACGAACAAGAGAAGGGACAGTGCGTGACGGTGACGGAGTGGAGGTCGAGGATGATTGGGGCCCGGAGACCTCGCCGCCTCCGACGGACTACCCGGCTGACGGAGAGGCCTGGGTGGAGGCGAGAACAAAGAGGGCGCGCAAGCGATTGAGAAAGAAAGAGCAGAAAAAAGCGGCTCTGGACGCGAGTGCTGCAATGAGGGGCGCGAAAACCTCAAAACGAGATTCTGTGCCACCGCCCACAGTGGGGGGCACGAACGCCGGAGTGCGACGGACTGGCGCGAGCAAAGGCGCAGCGGGAGTGAGTGCGCGTAGTGGGACACGGAGAGGGCCCGCCTCTGCTGGTGTTGCGACCCGCCCACGTGTGGGGGGCCCGGGAGGCGCAGGGGGGCGACCCCTTCTAGTGAGAGAGAACAAGTTCCGGGCGCCGAGGACGGCCGCGGTCCTCATAAAATGTGCGGAGGATAAGGACAGGTCGGGAGGTGTCACGTATGCTGAGGTGATGAAGCTCGCTAGGAGCAAAATTTCGTTAGACGACCTCAGCATCGTGAACACGCGAATAAGAAAGGCGCAGGCGGGAGGCCTTCTGATAGAGATTCCGGGAGGCGAAGAAGCTGGGGCCAAGGCGGAGGCCCTAGTAGACAGGATAAAGGGGGTCCTAGCAGAAACCGAATATAAGGAGGTACAAGTGGTGAGACCAGTGCGAAGGGCGGAGCTGAGATTGATTGACATCGACCAGTCCGTCACTACTGAGGAGGTGGCCGAAGCAATAGCGAGGAACGGTCAAGTGCGGTTAGCGGATGTTAGGGTCGGTCCCCTCAGGCCTGGGAGGGGAGGCCTGAATGCAGTGTGGGTGCAATGCCCCCTAGCCTGCGCTAACAAACTGCTAGGTGACGGACGAGTTAGAGTGGGCTGGACTATGGCGGGGATGGTGCCCCTGGCAAAGCGGAGGCTTCAGTGCTTCCGCTGCTTTGCTGTGGGGCACACTCGCGCCAACTGTCTGAGTCAAGTGGATCGAACTGACTGGTGCTTCCAGTGCGGAGGAAGTGATGGGCACAGAGCGGCGGGATGTAGAAAACCCCCAAAGTGTCCGGTGTGCGCGGGGCGGGGACTACCGTCGGGACACCGTGCGGGCGCGACCGAGTGTGCGCCATACAATAGGCGCGGACAGGCACCCAATCACGAGGACACGCGGGTGAGAAGCGAGGGGACATCCGATGGGGCTGATCGGGGAGCCCCGGCACTACCAATGGAGGTGCCAGACAATATGGAAGTAGAAAATGACCAGATTGGCCCACATTAACGTTAATAGGTCGCGACCATCGCAAGACCTAATTGCAAGGGTGAGTGAGGAGTTAAGCCTGGGGATAGTGGCTATTGCGGAGCCCAGCGGCATCCCGGACAGTGGCTGCTGGGTATCCTCCAGTGACGATCCCCCCTCGGCGGCCATTACGTGGCAATGGAGCCGAGCGGCGGTGCCGTGTACGCTGAAATGGAGGGGCGCGAAATTCGTGGCGGTGGACTGGGGTGACTTAGTCGTGGTCTCGTGCTACTTCTCCCCCAGACTGAGCGAAACGGAATTCTTCAGGGGACTGCACGAGCTGGAGAGCAGACTCCTGGGAGTAAGAGGTCATCCAGTAGTGATTATGGGAGACTTCAATGCGCGCGCCCACGCATGGGACCCTGGGCGGCCTAACAGGCGAGGAGCTATCCTTGCGAGCTGGATGGGGTTAATGGACCTACAGATTATTAATGAGGGAAGTGAACCAACGTGCGTCCATCCGCGGGGCGTTTCATGCGTCGATATCACGCTGGCGACTCCTACCGCGGCAAGGAGGATCTCGGCCTGGAGAGTCGAGGCTGGGCTGGAGTCCCTCTCGGACCACAAATACATTGTGATGGAGGTTGGGACTTCCCTGGTCGGGCCTACTACGGGGAAGACAGCGTTGAGAGCCTTCCCCAGATGGGCGGTCGGGAAAGCCGACCTAGATTTAATGGAGGCAGCAGCGGTCTTCACAGCGTGGACTCACACTCCTGGCAACGGCACCTCGGAAGCTGAGAAGATAGACCGAGCACTTCAGGATATATCGGACACGGCGATGCCGAGCAGAGGAGCAGCCAAGAAGCCGACCACCTATTGGTGGAATGAGGAGATATCAGACTTGCGCCGAAAATGTAACGCGAGTAGAAGAAGGCTCACGCGAGCGCGAGCGAGGAATAGGTTACCTCCCGTAGACATTCAAACTTATTGGGATGAGCTGCGGGAGGATAGACGTAGGTTAAGAGTAGCGATCAGGCGGTCGAAGGCGAGGCTATGGGGTGAACTCCTGAACGACCTCGATAGGGACCCTTGGGGCATGCCCTACCGACTGGTGCTTAGGAAGTTGCACGTGGGCGGCGCCTCGGTCGTGGAGGTGCTCCCTCCTGAGATAGTAGAGGAAATAGTAACGACACTATTTCCTGCGGACAATACCCCGCAGGACCCTGGGATCCCGGTGGAATGGCACGAAGATATGGAGGTTACTCCAGTGGAAGTGCTGGAGGCCGGGACCAGGGTTAAGCTAGGGAAGGCACCGGGTCCGGATGGGATAACGGGGCATGTAGTGAAAAAGACACTAGAAAGCCTTGCCCCTTTGTGGGCAATGTGCTTTACGGAATGTCTCAGGAGGGGGCACTTTCCACGGAAGTGGAAAATGGCGAGGCTTGTATTGGTCAAGAAGCTGGGCAAGCCAGATCTTTCCCCGTCCTCATATAGGGCACTGTGCTTACTTAGTGAGGCGGGGAAACTGCTAGAAAGGGTGATTGTGCGAAGGCTCCAGACGTTTCTGGATGACACAGAGGGAGTGGCGAACGGCCAATACGGTTTCCGACGACAGCGCTCCACCATAGACGCGATATGGTGCTTGAGAGAACGCGTCGAGCAGGGTACGCGGGACGGGGGTGTCGTGGTCGCGGTGTCCTTGGACATCGCGAACGCGTTTAACTCCCTCCCGTGGCCCGTTATTAAAAGAGCTCTAGGGGAGAAGGATGTTCCGGGGTATATCCGGAACATCCTTCACGATTATCTCGCGGATAGGGGGCTGTCATATGTAAATAGAAGAGACAGGCTGGTGCGGAAGGATATGACGTGCGGAGTTCCACAGGGTTCGGTCCTTGGACCGACCCTGTGGAACATAGGTTACGATACGGTACTGAGGGCGAATATGCCTATTTGCTGCTCGGTATTGTGTTACGCGGATGACACGTTGTTGGTCGCGTGCGCTGCGTCGTTCGACGAGGCACGCATAAGAGCGGAGATGGGGGCCACCTTTGTCATAAGGATGATAGAGCGGCTAGGCCTAAAAGTGTCGATCTCGAAGACGGAGGCGGTGGCCTTTATGGCCGAGGATATCCCGAGGGGTGCAGCTATTAGGATTGACCCTGGACTCGCGGTGGGCCTTTCGGGACCACTTCCGCCTGCTCATGCCTAAGGCATGGAAGATGGCGGGGGCTCTGGCGAGACTCACGGCCAATATCGGAGGCCCTGGTGAACGGCGTAGAAGAACGTACGCCACGGTGATTATGTCCGTGCTATTGCACGGGGCCCCGATTTGGGCGCAGACTATAGCGAGAAATCGCAAAGTCTTAGGAAGCGTGCGCAAACTACAACGGCAGTTAGCCCTAAGGGTCATCAGGGGATATCGCACCGTCTCCCACGATGCGGCGGCGATCTTAGCAGGAATGATCCCGTTCGATCTGGCGGCAGATCGTATTAGACGGGCGTACCTACGTAAGCGAGATATAATCGCCCGGGATGGCGAAATTACCCCGCATGTAGGAGCGATGTTGTTGGAGGCCGAGCGACGACGCGCGATAGCGCGATGGCAAAGGCGACTCGAGGAGCTACCCCCGGATGGACCAGGCGCGGCTGTGCGCGGGGCCATTGGGGAAGACGTAGAAGCATGGATCGGGAGGACGCACGGGGCACTCACGTACCGCGTGACACAAATGCTGACGGGACACGGGGTCTTCGAGGCCTATTTGTATAGAATAGGCCGAAGAGACACCCCGATATGTGTGTTTTGCAGGGCGACGAGTGACACAGCGGTCCATACCCTTTTGTTTTGCCCGGCTTGGGGGGAACGGAGGGGGGAGCTGCTCGCTATCGCGGGAGTCGATAGGGCGTTCCGGGCTGTAGTGAGGGCCGCCGTGCGATCTCGCGAGGCGTGGAGCGTACTCGCGGACTTCTGTGAGAACATCATGCGGAGGAAGGAGGAAGACGAGCGCGCTCGGGAACGGGGTCTCGACCCGTGTGTAGGGATGCTCGTTCTTCCCCCAGATGAGGAAGACTCTGACATGGATTAGAGTAGGACTGAGAGACAAGGTATGCGAAAACTCGTGCCGAGTTTTGTATGTATATATTGTAAATAGGGTCAGGATATAAGTAATCATTAAGTATTAAGTATTAAGTATTATAATAGACATATATGTGTATTTACATGTATATAGTATGTAAGCGGAGATGTATATAGTATATATAATGTATAAGGCGAAGAACCCGTTAGTAGCGGTAGCGAGTTCAAGACTCGGAAGGCAGGGGGGCACTCTGACGTTATGCTAGAGTGCGGTTCCGGAGTGTCCCCCAATGCCTTTGTGCGGTAGAACGATAAGGGGGGAGTTTTTTAGTAGGTAGGCGGCCGCCTCGGTGTGTCCCCGGAGTACCTTGTACCCCTGGGATCACGAGGTGGTTGAATCCGGCACTCTCGACGGTACGGGCCGTCGGGGGTCTTCCCCTTCCCGATGGGTGTCCCGAAAGAGTCCCCCTCGGGAAGGGGTATAAGAAGATTTTCTCCTCCCACGTAAAACAAAAAAAAAGGTACTCTATTTTCAATACCTAGGTACAGGTACAGGTACTCTAGAAAAAATGTACCGAAATACAGGTACAGGTATTTTAAATGTACCTTAAAGGTATCTAATATAGGTACTTTTATTTTTAACATGAATAAATTGCATTTTGACGATAAAATGACATTTCTAACGTTATTTTGACGTCAAAATGCAATTTCGACAGCTTGTTTGTTAGACATAATGAATATATTTCGTGAATCTGCACGTAATATTTATTAAGTTATTATTAAGTTATTATACATATATTTTATGTATACATACATAATATTTTTGTTTAATAATAAAAATTATGAATAAACATGATAAATTTAATTTAATTTAATTTAATTTAATGAATTTTTCCATCGAATTTAGTTGTACACGGATGTTAGGTTTAATCGTATCGTTATTCGCTTACGGACTGTGAGCATTAATGTAGAAAGGTGGTCACTGCTAAATTTGTAAAAATTCTCGAGGGAAAGAATCGAAATCCTTGGGTGTACGTATGTGTGTACCTTCTCTCGGTCTGCGCACCACTTTTATCAACTCCGTAGGCCCCGATCCCCGATCATAGTGAATCAATCAAAATGGTTGCGTTCGTTGCGTTCAGATGATAAGTTTTCAGTTTAACAGTTGTAAATCCGAAAAATAACTAAAGTGTACCTAAATATAGGTACCGGTACACAAGAAATGGTACCTAGGTATAGGTATAGGTATCAGAAAAAAAAGTATCTCAGTACAGTTACTAGTACACAAATTTGTATCTAGTTACAGTACCTAGGTACTGCATGACACTGGCTGGGTCTATCTTATATGTCTATGGGTATACCACAATGACGCGTGACACGGACACCCATAATTGCCTCCTTTCCCAGCGCGAATTTACCGCGAAGTTGTCCTCGCACACCCAGGCTGCGTTCCGTTTCACGCATGATGCGCATGGAAAGCATGGAAGGCGTTCCGTTTCACTCAATGCTCCGTTCATGCGCGCATGAAAACGGCAGGGTGTCTATACGGCAGTAATGCATATTTAGCCCCCGGCAACACGAAAAACCCGCCCCACCACTTTTACCCCCACCAAGCAGACACCTACCGGCATCGAGTCGGCCGTCTTCGCCGCGAGACCGAATGAGACAGCGAGAGGCAGCGCCCGTCCTTCTCGCTCTACCAGTAACTCGTAAACACAAGCGAGTATTAGAGCGAAAAGGACGGCCGCTCTCTCGCTGTCTCGCTTTCTCTACTAGCCGCTTGTTATAAGCGACCGAAAACCGAAAATGTACTTTCTCGGTTGCTCGGCGTATTCTTGTACAGGGTATCCCGATCGTTTTTGCTAATCACTTTTGTGTTGATAGAGCGGATTAAACTGAGTCGAAAAGTCCTCTACCATTTTGCATTTATCGCAATGATTAACGAGATAATAATTACTAAAAATGACAAAAGAATATACAGGGTGGGGAAAAAGTATGGAAGCAAACAA